TACCACTTCCTGTCCATTCAGCAGTCCCTTGCACCTATGTATATCCATAACAACTACCATATAAACACTTATCTACATTTTTCTTAGATTCACCTGCACAATAAAATACTTTACTACCCTTGCCTGATCCACTATTTGAACTAGGCTTGAGATTCATAGGACATGTTGTAGTAATATGACCAGGTTTACCACACTTGAAACATGTATTAGCTTGACTATTCTTATTAGATTGTTGAACAGAATTAGATTGCCATTTTCTAAATTTTCCATTTGATGCCATTGACTTATCTGTTTTAGGTTTACCATGAGCAGCAATATACTGCTCAGCTAATTTAATGACCTCACCTTTTGATTTAGGTTCTCTTTCACGAATCCATATCTTCAATTCATAAGGTGAATTCTCTATGATTTGCTCCTTCAACAACAGATCTATCATTGTCTCCATACTGTCAACTTCTGCTGCTTCCAACCAATGCTCCAACAAATTCTCCAAACGACTCACATCTCACATCCCACTTTACACTTCTAAAGCTGCTCCGGTATTTCTCTGCAGTCAACTCATATTTCTGCAAGATAGCTGCTTTAACTAAATCATAATCATTAGAGTCCTTATCACTCATATTAGAAAACGCAGCCTGTGCTTTACCCGATAAATGAGCTACCAATTTCAAAGCCCACATGTCTCGCGGCCAATGATGTGCAATTGCAATCTTTTCAAATGTTCTTAGATAAACATTAATATCATCACCTTCCTTAAAATGAGAAATGTTAGGACCCTTGTCTACAATTACAGTACTATTATCTGTACTATGCTCCCTACCTTGCATACGTAACTTCTCCAATTCTAAATCCCGCAACTTCATTTCCACTTCATGTCTTCTCTTTTGCTCCTCAGCAATCCTTACTGCTTCCAATTTTTCCATTTCTAGCTTCTGTTTAAGCATAACCATCTGTAATTCATATTCACGCTCTTCGCGCCTGAGCCTCACTGTATCCTGATGCTTTGGATCCCAATCCTGCAAGCCCTTATTCAAATTCCCTTCCAAATTAGAATGCATGGGAGTCAGTAGTGGTGAACCCCCAGAAAAATCAGCAGCATCCCCTG